ATCGTGCAATTTATATTTTTTCACTAAAGTTATAATTATTGTCTTTTTTTCTAATTTCTGTTTTGTTTTCATGATATCTAAGAATATATGTACAAAATAAAAATAAAATAAACTGATCTCCCGAAAAACAACAAACACTTTAAATCAATACGTGTATCTTTTAAATCTATGATAAAGAAGAAGTTATACAATAAAAAGCTAGATACTTTAAAGAGTAGCTGAAAATATTGTAAAAATGATAAATATTAAACCTAATATTTTAGTTCTGAAACAACGTTAACATTCATTAAAAATTTTCACTGTAATTTGATATGCGAACATTTTTAAAATGATTTGTTAAGCGAAGATATTAAGAGTCATTGTTTACATAATTCAAAAATGTTAATTACATTCAAGACAAAAAAATGAAGCAACGTTACTCTGTGTACTTTTTCACATTGTGTGAGTGTTTTTTTTTTAATTTCAATGTAACCGTTTTGACTATATTCTCTACCGTTCCATCTATTTGAAAGTTTTAATAAAATTCATCACAAATCTCGACTGGAAATGTTCTCAAAATATTAATCAAATTGCAGGTGATTCGTAAATAGTTTCAAAGTTTTAAAAGTATTAATGAGTAAGCGTATGAAGCTTTCTTGTTCCTAATAAAATTATGAAATCAATTATATACCTGATTTGTTTGTACACTGCAGAAAGTTTAATACACGTTTGTGTCACTCATTGTACATGAGGTTAGAAAAATTTACTTGCAGTAATTTAAATATGTAAAATATATGTTTAGACAAGCTTTCAAAAATGATTTAAAAGACTTACTCGATATGGTAAATATCTGCATGTTTATGTTTTTAACAAACATCAACAATATGTTATAAATGATGTATAGTTTTTAAAACGAAGTTACTGTTTCGTCCTTGATGATGTTCCCGTGACCTTGATATATTACCTTTCCAGTACAGACATGCCAGTTTGAATTCCAACTGACAGTTATTGACGCACTTTTACAATTATGAATTACATAATTAAATATTTACTAGTTGATGCGCGCTTAAATAGATACTTTTAAAGGTGATTTTTAAGTGTTTAAAACATCATACTTCAATGTCACTCATGAAATGTTTTTCATATTTCATAATTCATTAATTAACCCATTACTTCATATACACGCCTTTTAACGCCTTTTTCACCCCCCCTTTTTGTTGTCTCAAATGATGAAAAAATGCCTTATTTAGGCCCCAAACACATGTTTTTGTTTGAGAAATGTTGTTAAAAAAATTGACCTCTTTTTCGGCGCGGCCCCCCAACCAAAAGATACATCAGGGGGTTGCCAGAAGGGGGATGTGCCCCCTTCTGTTTTGGGGGGTTTGAAGGGGGGCGGAGTCCCCCTCATCGCCAAGAAAATTTTGGACTTGTGAGAGGCTGTAAATGACCCCAGATTGATCATAAGGTAACGTGTAACCAACGCTGAAAAGCATTTGACTCTATCTCAATTCATTGATAAGTTGCAGCACTTTGAAATCAATTTTGATGGAAAAAATCAACGCAAAATAGTGATTTTTGGCAATTTTGAGATGTCCCCTCGTTGCCATGGTAACAGAAAATTTAAGTCTGAGCATGTTGTTGCAAGGACAATGGTCCAGTCAACATTTGTGCCAAGTTTGATTAGTGTTGAAGCAGTTTTTATAGTATTATAGCAATTTGAACTTGTAACGGGAGACTTTTCAATGAAAACAGCCATTTTTCACAAAATGCTCATGAAGCAATGGGTTAATGAAAAAAATAAAAAAATCTACAAAACAACAATTTTTCTTCAAATTTATATGACAGGCCATGTTTAAACATGAAAAAACGCGATTTAGGGTAATTTCAAGTATTTTCATCATTTTCAGTTAACCCATTACTTCATATACACGCCTTTTAACGCCTTTTTCACCCCCCCCTTTTTGTTGTCTCAAATGATGAAAAAATGCCTTATTTAGGCCCCAAACACATGTTTTTGTTTGAGAAATGTTGTTAAAAAAATTGACCTCTTTTTCGGCGCGGCCCCCCAACCAAAAGATACATCAGGGGGTTGCCAGAAGGGGGATGTGCCCCCTTCTGTTTTGGGGGGTTTGAAGGGGGGCGGAGTCCCCCTCATCGCCAAGAAAATTTTGGACTTGTGAGAGGCTGTAAATGACCCCAGATTGATCATAAGGTAACGTGTAACCAACGCTGAAAAGCATTTGACTCTATCTCAATTCATTGATAAGTTGCAGCACTTTGAAATCAATTTTGATGGAAAAAATCAACGCAAAATAGTGATTTTTGGCAATTTTGAGATGTCCCCTCGTTGCCATGGTAACAGAAAATTTAAGTCTGAGCATGTTGTTGCAAGGACAATGGTCCAGTCAACATTTGTGCCAAGTTTGATTAGTGTTGAAGCAGTTTTTATAGTATTATAGCAATTTGAACTTGTAACGGGAGACTTTTCAATGAAAACAGCCATTTTTCACAAAATGCTCATGAAGCAATGGGTTAAAATCTAGTTAACAGGATACAGAATATATTTTTCTTTTTCTTTTTGAAAGTCATTACTTATTGATAACATATTTTACATCATTCATTTTATATTTTAGAGCGTTGTTGTTGTTGAATTTTAAGTATCGCAAAAAGGGTAACATTCTGTTGACGGTCTGTGAAAAAAAGTGCCTGAAAATAATTTCTCAAATGAACTTCCTGTAGCGTAGCAACGAATGTGTGTTTATACTTTGATAGAAATGTATCCCTATTTACATACCCAAACAATATGTATAATAAAAATTCTTACCAGCAGATCAAAATGTACAAACACAATAAGCTTTGCATCCTTTCAATTTTCTCATTTTCTTACAGACTAAAATATTTCGAACTAAAAGGGGAGCGATGGCCTAGTGGTTAACGTGTGTACCTGTCAACCCATGGATCATGGGCTCCAGCCCTAATCTGGTCACGACTATGTTTCTTCATATGACACCAATACTGGTTGGTTCCAGGAGGAGAAAGTAATTAAAATAAGTTGCAAGAACTTGCTTTGCAATCGGCCTTAAATAATATGTTAAAGCAGCACGCCTCAAGATTCCTGCTAATTTTCATGAACATTTTGAAAATATGTTAAAAAGTAAAATATTGTGAAGCTGACAAAGAAAAAAATACACACATTGCAAACGGCACTTACAACCCATGTAAATTACCAAAAAGTGGTCAAAATATGCAAAATTAGCCCTTAATGCGTTATTAACGCAGTAGAAATATATTGAGAATTATTAAAAAATTGGCCATTTATCGCAAATAGCATGGAAAATATTACTTTTATCGTCAGTCTTTACTTTTCATCAAACCTCAATACATTTTCTCAAGTTTGATTTTCTTGAAATACTGTGGCTCATCTGGGGGCATGCAGCTTTAAACCAATTCGAACTGTACAGTGTATTTACTTAGATGAGTGGCTAAGATGTAAATACAACACTTAAGATTTAAAAAGAAGATTTGAAGTATAAAAATAAGTATGAAACTAGTTACTTTCAGTTCATTATGAATAATTATATTTACTTGTATATATAGCTTCATGGAAATTATATTTGGACATTGTTCTATACTTTGAACAATATAGATTTCCATTTTTGTGTAAAAAGAGGTAGCACAAATAATCATAGAGCTGTCTACAATTTTCCCAAGGTCTTTTAACGTTTTTGAAAAGGTAATTGTGCAATCTTTTCCTCACAATAGCGACAGTTCGTCATCGATTACTTCCCTTTATGTTTCTATTTTTCTATTTCATCAGTCAACATTATGCTTATTTGTGAGAACATATTATTTGGAAATTTAAATAATTAATAATAATACATTCTTAAAAATGTTTATTGTAAACTTACTTATTGTAAATACATACTAATATTCAATCGCAGAAGAAAAAGAAAGAAAAAAAAAACAGAAAAAAATGTTGCGACCTCAGTAGCCGAGTGGTCTGGTCTCAAAGCAATTCCCTTTACCGATGTGTGTTGTCCGCTCTTATAGGAAGATAAGCATCTTCAAATGATTGCGCAAATATGATCTAAATGCTTCCCAAAATGTCTAATATAAAAGGCACTCAAGTGACTGACAAACAAACGTTGAAGGTTACTTATATTTACAGATCTACATTATGTCGTATTGTAATATTGTAAGAAATATTGGTAAGCCTATAAAGGTGTGAGTATGAAACTTTTAAGCAAATATTTTCTGCTTTATTAAAATCAGTAGTGCATTAACCACAATGCAGGACACCATTATCATGATTATCGCTTTAATTTTATGACATATACATGTATATTTTATAGTAGTTTAATCAAGAATGTTTTGATATACTCAACATGAAATTTTTACGTTCCTCACTCATTTACAGTGTTAATGATTTATGTGAATGTTATACTTGTATGCTTACATTTAACCTCATTACATAAAATTTCTTCTTAAAACAATTTCAATTTTAGCAGAATGGAATTCAATATGATCTCTAAAATGATAAGTGCGTAAACAAAATGCATATTTAGTCTGTTGAAAGTGCACAATACGCATATCATTATTTCTTCTTTATAGGCATATATAAAAACGGTCCAAGATAAATTAAGGGAACATTTGAATGTAATTAGCTATATTATTACATTTTTCAAACAAGGACAACTTGTGGCACAAAAGTAGGACCATTTCACGTTACAGAAATAATTAAAAATAAAGAAAAACGGAGTCCCTAAAGAACGCCCAAAACGACAAAATTGGAAATGTTGCAGGTCCGGTTTTATTGAGCCTGTTCATGGACGGTACCGAAAAGTGCAAGTTACCGTCCACGCCCCCCTAGCACCGCCTTAAGCATATTCAACATTTCAACACAAAAAAAGTGAAATTTTGAATTTAGAAACATCCGCATTTGTCCCATAATCATATCATACACATGTTGCATATTCACTGGAATCAGATTGAATGATTTGATAAAATAATGAAGAGCCATATTTTGTCTTCTCTGGATATTTATTAAAATAATCTTCACAGTATGAGACATTTGTTTTATTTATAAAACCATGAGCAATATCACTGTCATCTATTCTGGTAAAACTAATCGAGTGATCCACATGCACGTTTTGATATGAACGAAGATCTTGCGTCTCGTTTCTCCATCTAAACACACGCCGAGTCGTACCATACAACTTTGCCCCTGAAATAGATATACCGGTAAATAAATTAAATTTAGTTATGTTGGTGCGCCCTAAAACCAAACCAAACTGATATAATGTAATGATATATCGGTATAATGTAATGAAACTAAACCTTATTGATTACATGACACTAACTGTATACTGTACTTTTGTATTATGAATCATTTCGACCTCATTCAAAACATATAAAATTGCTAAACGGATTACATGATCAGATTTTATTGTAATATATTCATGATAGACTACTTCTGGTTTTAATGCATAAAACATAAAACATTTTTGTTACAAACGTTATGTGTCTTTGATATATCCGGGCTCTGTCATCGCTCGCAAGAGTTCAAAATCAGAACCTATCCGAAATATCCACATGTATTACTATTTTTTAGAAAGATCTTGTTCTTGCTTACTTAAAGGGTAGTACAATGGCTAGATATACAATCATCATTACTACAACTCTTTCGAAGGTAATCTATACTTACTCGCATTCAGCTTCACATTTATTGTTGTAGGTTTCATTGTCAGTTGTACAGCAAGGATCATAATCTGGTTTGCAAAGACATTGTACTGGCTGTTCAATAACTATAACGTTTGGTTCTTGAACAGCAGCGTTGTTTGAGTTTATATAGCTGTTGCCATCTAAATTGTTGTTACTGTTTCCGTCGTTGTTGTAGCCAAAGCTATTTCCGTTGTTGTTGTTGTTGTTGTTGTTGAAGCTACGTCTGTTTCCGTTATTGTTGTTATTATTGTTATTATTGTTGTTGAAGCTATTTGTATTTCCGTTGTTGTTATTGTTGAAGCCATTGCTATTACCATTGTTGTTATTGTTGAAGCCATTGCTATTACCATTGTTGTTATTGTTGAAGCCATTGCTATTACCCTTGTTGTAATTGTTGAAGCCATTGCTATTACCCTTGTTTTTGTTGTAGTCATTGCTATTTCTGTTGTTGCTGTTGTTATTGTTGTAGCCATTGCTATTTCTGTTGTTGTTATTGTTGAAGCCATTGCTATTTCCGTTGTTGTTATTGTTATAGCCATTGTTATTTCTGTTGTTGTTGTTATTGTTGTAGCCATTGCTGTTGTTGTTATTGTTTCCATTGTTGTTGTTGTTGTAGCTGTCCTTACCGTTGTTAACACGTTTGAAGATATCAAGTAGACTGTAAGTTGTCGACATGTCATCTTTCGTGTTGGTATTGAGGACCATCCTGTTACTACCGCCAGCACTAACCTTGTCATTGAAATTATTGACATTAGCATTATTATTATTACCAACACGAGCATTGTTTCTATTATTGTTGTTGTTCCAATTTTTGTTGTTAAAGCTATTTCTATTGTTTCCATTGTTGTTATTAAAGCTGTTTATATTGTTCTTGTTATTGTTGCTGTTGTTTCCGTTGTTATTGTTGTTTCTGTTATAAGTGTTCTTAAAATTTGTGTTGGCATTGAAGCTGTTTCCATTATTGTTACCATTGTTATTGTAACTATTTCTGTTATTGGTGTTGTCATAGCTGTTGACGTTAGTGTTTCTCCCATTGTTGCCGTTATTATTGAAGCTGTTCCTATTAGCATTTCCTTTGTTATTGTTGTAGATGTTAGTGTTTCCGTTGTTGTTATTTCCATTGTTGCCGTTTTGCCTGTAGCTATTTACATTTCCGTTAAAGCTGCTAGCATTTGCATTGTTTCCATTTCTGTTGTTAGCATTAGTATTGCCGTTGTTATTTCCTCTGTTATAGCTATTTATGTTGCCATTTGCATTGCCATTATTATTGCCAATTTTGTTGTTGCAATTTCTGGAGTTGCCATTACAATTGTTTGCGTTCCCACCGTTGTAATTTTGGTTGCTACCGTTTGAATTGTAGTTATTCCTGTTGCCGGCATTATTGTTGTTATTTCTGTTAAAGCTGTTTGTGTTGCCATTGTTGCTGTTAAAGCTATTTGTATTGCCGTTATTGTTGTTATTACTATTATTATTGTTGTTGTTGTAAAAGCTGTTTGTATTACCATTGTTGTTATTATTGGCATTGTACGAATTTGTGTTTACCCCGGTAGTTCCAGGACAAGGACATGCACCGTCGCATGCCTTATATTTCAGCTATAATAATGTAATTAAACATTAGATTATGAAGTTTACTTGGCTATTTTGTTACATAGTAGGAATTGAATTGAGTGTAAGTGTTTAATACAATAAATTTATTTGAACATTTGAATAATTGAATTTCATATTATCTGCCACTGCAGTAATATTGTCTTTATTCTGATGTTATAAAGAACTTTGTGGGTAAATTGAATCTACATCTATTAATATTAGTCATTATCAATTTGGAAATAAACGTAAACTGGTTCGAAAGTATTTTTGGCATTTAACAGCAGCCTATCAGCTTGTAATTTTCTGCTGAGAACAATTCTAGTGCTTTAACAAAGTAGTTTATGTGCAAATTGAAGAGACACTGTTCAACAGTGTCTATTAAACACTAGTTGATTAAATTATCGTCTAGTGTAGTATCGTTTCTATTAATAAAGAAGCCAGGAACAACTCATCCGCATTATACTAAATAAAATAGAGAGCGGACTTGTAGATTAGAGGATGGAGGGGTTTCTTTATTCTAATGTTATTTACATCGTTGGAAAATTTCATTTTTCACCTTTAGTATTTCAAATGACAATTTATTGAAACGAGTTTCTAAACATACTACGTTTAAGCCTTTTGAAAATCTGAGCCTCATTAAATCAACAAAAATTTCCTTTATAAAAATAAATAATAGCAAGAAAAGTTTTATTCCAGTATATGTACTAACTTGCAATCGCAGTACATTGTTTCGAAAGTCACCTTCCGTGGACTATCGTTTTAAAGGATACTACATTGCGCGCTAAAAGCTATGTTTATATATAGCGCAGATGACGTCACGTCAAAGTGTTATTACACTAGTGTAATATCGTTTTTATTAAATGGCTTTATTACACTCCTGCGCCGCCGTTTATGTGATAATGTTAAGTTAAAAGCTCGAAAATACTTTCATTTATGGATAATTTGCCTATTTTGAATATTGGTTTCATATTTTCTTTGCACTCAGTAACTAATGCATCTGATGTTATAAAGAACTTATGGTAGAGGTAAAATATGAAAACATCTTTAATCAATTAAGTCAACTTATCAAGTTTGGAATAAACGTATTAACTAAGGTTCGTTAAAGTTTTTTATGGCAATTAAAACAGCCTTCAGCTTTTATTTTCTGTTGGAGAAACAATTCTGAGTTGTTTCAAACAAAGTAGTTTGCGAACACTATCTAAGAGACACTGTTCAGCATTCTTCAAAACAACATCACGAGATCTATTTACCTCGTCAGTGACGTTCGTTTCTATAAAAAGAAGACCAGGAACGAATCATCCGATTAACTAAATTAAAAATAGAGAGCGGACTTGTAGATTAGAGGTATGGAGGGGTTTCCTTATTGTTTATGTATTTCATCGTTGGAAAATTTCATTTTCCACCTTTAGTATTTCAAATGGACAATTATATTAAACGATTTATCTAAACATACCACGTTTAACCTTTGGAAAATCTGAAGGCCTCATTAAATCAAAACAAAAATTTCTTTATAAAAATAAATAATTGCAGGAAAAGTTTTAATTTTCCAGTATATGTACTAACTTGCAATCGCAGAAACATTCGTTTTCGAAAGTCACACCTTCCGTGGAGCATATCGGTTTCCTGCCAAAAGGATTACAATACTTATTGCAATCGAAATTAGGTCTCTGCCTGGGAGCATCTCCCCCACCACCATTGTTCTCATTGTTACTGTTGTCACACTGCACTGTATTAAAATTGCGAAGTTAAACAATTTGAAGGGAAAAAAGATAATGTGCAAATGATATTATTAGATGAAATATGAATTAATTTGACTCAAATTAGCATTTTATTCCTAATCTTGATTTATTTACAAAATGCAAAGTTTTAAATACAACATTCCAAATGTCAAGGTTTACAAGTCTACATTACAAATACAACTGAGCAAAAAGTGTTCACCATTTCGCCCATAAACAAGGATTGTCGAATGTGTGTAATAGATTGTATATGACATATTTATTACAAAAGAAATGTTATCTATATCTCATAGTAAACGAAAAAAATTGTCATTATATGTTTTTTTTATTTTAACATGCAAAAAAACCTGTTTGTTAACTTGGACAGGTTTAACACTTCGAGATGGTCTATGGCTTATTTGTATGCCTATTGTATTCTGTCTACAAAATCAAAAAATCCCCAGCTTATCAATATAAAGACTTTCTCTCTTTTAATTTCAATCGAATAAGTATATCTTATAATCACTTAAAGTACTTTAAAAATGCAAATTTGAAATAACATTTCGTATCTTCCTTGTTTATACCATACAATCAATTTATCCGGAAAGAATTGTCGATAATTTGACAACTCATTACGTTTAAAAGTATACAGATTTAAATAGGTTCAAGCAAATAGGAACAAAATATGCAATGATTTCTTGACAATTTAAATATGTCTTAGGCATAATAAATCAATTGTTTTAATAAACAACTTAGATAAAGAGACATACCTGCCACGAAGCAAATCAACAGTATCACTATAGTCTTCATAATGAGATTTAGTACTGCCTAACTGAACAAAATGGTCCGAAACAGTTACTGCAGTATCACATTCAAAGACTACTAATGAGAATTGTACTCATAAATTCTTTATGTACTTGACAATTTTACGCATCATGGCTGGTAAAGCATCATCAGACTTTGTTGTCTCGTAAAGCAATTTAACATTCAAACTTTTTTTACAAAGTCCGCAAGTATTAATTAGTTTAACTTGTCATACATAATTAAATGCTAGTCAGAATTGTCAGGTGACGTTGATGTCCTTCGCGCGATTGGATGAGTATAAACAACCACTGTACATGTCTAGCTGAACCTGCCATGCTATCATCTATTTGTTTCCTGTAGTCATTTAAATCACCGTTTCCTGTCTTTATATCACATACCTTAACAGTATTTGCTCTTAAAGGCAAATTAAACCTCGAAAATACATAGTGTTTTATTTCTCAATTTCGTTTTTAATTTAAAGTGTCCTGGTACAATTTTCGAAAAAAAGTACTTCCTGACCAAATAGCGAAACCATCTTTAGCTTTTTTTTAGAGAGTTAAGTAATCAGGACAGTTAAATTGATAATTAGAATTGTGTATGGAACTCAAAATACATGTACTGTTTTATTTACATGTTGCTACTTTTATGACAAATTATTTCACCTTCAACACTATGTTTATCATCTAATCATGCTTTAAATCCATATTGAAAAATTGCTAAACACATGTAGAAGAAGAAAAATATCAATTTCTAGGGCATAGTGACTTTAAACTTATAACCTTGAGATACTTGACTTTGTAACATGATAAAAATAACAATATGTTTGACATGCTTGAACTGATTCCAAGTTTTTCTTCAATGTTACAAAAAAAATCCAACACGTAAATTTCATTAGTCAGGATATCCAAATGCATTTTCTTGATTTGAAACAAAAGTGCAACTCTTTCTGCTAAAAGAAAGTAAGATATCACATGTTACATATTTGAAGAATTCTTAACTAGGTTTAAAACAATATTAATGCCTTTATAATGTTTCAAACGTTTAGAATTGTAAGTCATTTGTACATGTCATGGGTATACTAATATAATCACGCGTCATTAAAAATGAACTTACATGGCAGCTTGCAATAACTATTACAGTCCATGTACAGGCTAATCCTGCAACATTTTTAATATTGCTGTATTGAGCTGCCTTTAGGGATTCTGTTCTTCTCTATTTTTTTAGATTTTCGTTTGTTTGTTTGTTTTTGATCATATTTTTTGTTGTTGCTTTTAGTGTTTTTTTCCTTAATTTTGTATTCATGTAATATAATTTAAGACTTGGGTGCCAATGCTAGTGGATATCGTAGCGGCTGCTGCGTGTCGTGGACATTGATCTCTCCTGTTGATCTTTATTTTCATATTATTGTTATTTATCAATTCTCAAGCAATTTTATGGCATGTCGGTATAAAGCTATTATGAGATTTGCTAAAATATGTTACTATTAGTGTCTCTACATTTCCATTGTTTATCATCAATGTGCCTACTGTGGATCAATTCACATCAGGATAAGCATGCAGATTCTCGAATTTATTTCCTGAGCATGATTCTACTTTACAAAGGCATATTATTAGTGTGATATAATAAAAAAAAGTTGATTGTGCCAAATGTTCTATAAGGTACAATATTAATTAAGTAAACCTATTAAACAATAATGATAATCTAAAACCAGTAAAGGATGGTAAGAAATACAGACACATTTAGTTTAAAATCGAGGCTCAATTAAAAAAATCCTATAAAAGATTTGAACGGAATAAGATTGTTAAAAATGTAACAAACAAAAGTAAAAAAGAAACCAATTATAAAGTAAAACCCTAAGAAATAAAATCAAACACACAATTTACACTGATAATATAGCAAAAGTAGTACATGTATGTTGTTTTATGAAACTAACGTTCATAGAACTTTATGAAATAATGTGTTTTGAGAGCTCTCTTAAAACTTGGCAAGGTATTACAGTCTCTAATGTCAGGTTGTAACGCATTCCATAATTTCACTGCGGCTGGAAGCACCTGTCACCATATCGTACTGTCCGAGATTTAGGCACAACTAATGTCATTGAGTTATTCTGGGACCTCAGATTCCTGACTGGGATGTTCACGTCTATCTGTCTTTTATATAGGCTGGTGTTTCATCGATGAGGGATTTATATGCATATGTCAAAATTTTATATTCGACCCGATACTCTACCGGAAGCCAGTGAAGTTCACGTAAGATAGGTGTTATGTGGTCATATTTTAGTGTTTTGGTCACAATTCTAGCTGCTGTATTTTGAACATGTTGTAACTTGGTCATTGACTGCTTAGAGACTCCATATAACAGTGCATTATAGTAGGTAACAAGTGAATTTACTTGAGATTTGGTTGCTTTAACAGTTAGATAGGGTCTGATGTGAGCAATTTGTCTTAATTGTGCATAACAGTTCCTACAGACATTATTTACATGTTGTTCCATCCTCATGTTCGAGTCAAGAAATGCATCAAGATTGCGCACACTAGATGATTGGCTAATTTTCGAACCGTCGACTGTTACTGTAACATCTGAAACAGGTTATGCGTTATGTTCAGATGAGAAGATGATCAACTCTGTTTTGTCGCCATTTAGCTTCAGCATGTTGGCATTCATCCAACAAGACATTTTAATCTGATACCAGACGTATAAAACGCATTAATTGATAGCAAGAAAATTAAAACTTTTTAATAATGCTGAGATTTATAAAATGTTGAAGATGTGGTAAACATTTATGGTTTAACAACAGTATATAACCAATCTGTTAAGCAACGTATTGGTTTTGTCGGGCTAGATTTTTGGTTCTACTCAGGTGTCTGTTTGTGTCTGACATAATGCACGGAAGGACACCTGAGCTCTTCCTCCACAAGTAAAGCTGGCACGTCGCCATATCACCTATCCTGTGTCGATGTGATGTAAAACGTAAAAGAATAAACAGGTTAGATTTTTCACCTTGACCGTTTGTGATATTATTTGTCTATTACATTTATGGCTGCAAAACAGCATAATAACTTCTATTTCGAACAATCAAACAAAACACCGTTCCTTCTAAACCGTGCACCTCGATATTTTGTATAATTATATATGTTTATTTTAAAGAACTCTATCTGAATTCTTTGCTGTGATTGGTTTGCTGGTTTTGTCTCTGTAATACATTCTAAATTTACATACATTTCTAAACCATTTAAAAGAATAACCGTCTTATTTTAAATTATCATACAATTTTAAGATTTGTATTTTTATCTCAAACTAATATTTATTATCAGCATTATTTGGCGTATTTAAGCTATGTATTTCTATATTCAAATTTCTTTGTTCTGTCGTTTTAAGTCTTAAATGTATTATATTCAAATGCAACGCTTACATTAGCTGCTCTATTGATATTTTTCTTAATTCATAGCTGACTTTTTTATAATATACATTTAAAATGTCATCGCTGAAATTTTATTTATTGATATAATACCAGAAATTTGTAATAGAGACATATGCTATTTTTAGAAATGAATGAAAGTTAAATGATTTTTCTCGAAATATATCTATAAGTTGCCATTTTAATGGTATCTTAACAACGCTAATGTATTTCAATTTTCGTAGTGAAAGGTTTAAAAAAGCACAAACACTGAATCATTTGCCTTCTGTTGTTATTAATAAAACTTAAATTAGCAAAATGCAACATTTAATCTTAAACATTAGAGTCATTTATTCACAATTGTGCCGTCTTCCATACAGTGTGTCATACCTGAACATACGACGTGGATTCATTGGCATCATACGCTGCTTTTTAATAGCAGGCTTTGTCATACCAGACAGTTTTACCCCTGAAAACAAAATAAAATAAATATGTAGAGGATAACTATTTACCAACAAAGAACTACAAGACGTCACAATCTTGTAATCTGGGTCTGACTTACAAGTGAAAAAATACAGCAGCTGATGTTTACTCAAAATTATTTGATCAAAAGAATGTATTTACCATCCCCCAACCGCCCAATTACGCCATGAAGTTTAATTCATGACGTCATCAAAACACGAGTTGAAATGAAATTCTATCAAATGGTTAGATTTTTTCTTACGTATATAACATAAAGCACGCAAAAATTCGTATGTGCATATTTTATCATGTAACTAATAGTGGAGAATATTTCTAAAGGCATTTCCACTAAAATTTGATATAATTATCCCTATTTTCATCAGTTCGTATTTATCATGTCCAGACAATCTAATGTGAGATCAATTTTTCAGGCAAAATACACCTTGATATAGATTTCTCATCAAATTTTAATGCTTTATTTGATTTTGCATATTTTTAGAGAAAATAAAAATATTCATCCTATAACATGTTAACAAAACTAACGACAAATATACATGTATTTACTTACTCGCATTCAGCCTCACACTTGTTGTTGTAAGTCTCGTTATCAGTTGTACAACAAGGATCATAGTCTGGTTTACATACACACCCGACACTTTGCTGAACAGGAGCTTGGATAACTATAACTGTAGGTTCTGGCACAAGCACGCTGTTTGTGTTGCTGTTGTCACCATTGTTGTTGCTATTGTAGCTATTGCTGTCAATGCTATTGGTATCTCCGTTGTTGTTAAAGCTATTTGTGTTTCCATTGTTGTTGAAACTATTGGTATTGCCATTGTTATTGCTGTTGTAACTGTTGCCATTGTCGTTTCTATTGTAACTGTTGCCATTGTCGTTTCTATTGTAACTGTTGCCATTGTTGTTGCTGTTGTAACTGTTGCCATTGTCGTTTCTATTGTAACTATTGCCATTGTTGTTGCTATTGCCATTGTTGTTACTGTCGTAATTTTTGAAGACGTCAAGAAGACTTATAGTCTGGGAAGAATCGTCAGATTTGGTCTTTATAACCAGCTTGTTACTGCCGCCAACACTGACTACGTTTGGAATGCTATTGCTGTCGTCGTTGGTGTTGCTATCATAGCTGTTTCCGTTGTTGGTATTTCCATTGTTGTTGCCATTTCCATTGTTGTTGCCATTTCCATTGTTGTTGCCATTTCCATTGTTGTTGGAATTTCCATTGTTGTTGCCATTTAAGCTATTGGTATTTCCATTATTATTGAAGCTGTTTGCGTTGTTACAGTTTCCGAAATTACAATTAGTGTTTCCATTGTTGTTGGAGTTGTAACCGTTTCCGTTGTTAGAATTGTATCCGTTGCCATTGTTAGAGTTGTATCCGTTGCCATTGTTATTTGTGTTGAATCCATTTCCGTTGTTCGAATTGTATCCGTTGCCATTGTTATTGGAGTTGAAACTGTTTCCGTTGTTGTTAGAATTGAACCCGTTTCCATTATTGTAGCTGTTACGGTTACTATTTCCATTATTGTTACTGTTGAAACCATTGTTGCCATTGTTATTGTTATAGCTATTGCCATTACCGTTGCCATTTCCATTGTAACTGTTTGTGTTTCCATTGTTGTTTCTGTTTCCATTGTTATTTCGGTTTCCATTATTATTTCCGTTTCCATTACTATTTCCGTTGTAGCTATTGCCGTTGTTGTTACCATTTCCATTATTGTTATTATAGCTCCTCCAGTTGCTATTGCCATTGTTTTTATTGCCATTGTTGCTGTTTATGTTGCCATTGTTGTTGAAGCTATTTCTGTTTCCATTGTTATTGTAGCTGTTTGAGTTGCCATTATTGTTATAGCTATTGGTGTTACCATTGTTATTATAGCTGTTAGTGTTGCCGTTGTTGTTTCTATTGCCATTATAGCTATTGGTATTGCCATTATTGTTGCCATTACCATTGTATCCATTTCCATTGTTGTTGTTGTTGTTGTATGAGTTTGTATTACTAGCACCGTTGCAAGGGCATGGTCCATCACATTGCTTGAATCTCGATCTAAGAAAGGCGCAATGAGGATATATCTTAAAGGTTTTTCAAATATCAACTCACTACTACTATTTAACCAAATAAATAACGATGCAAACTTACTGTGATTAATAGTTTGCCTTTTTAAATTTATCCTACAACATACATGGATATATACTCGCATATTTAAACTTACAGAAATGTTCTTTTGTAATTGTTTTGCATTTGTTAAGGAAAGGGAAAAAACTATAAAAAGAAAGCGCATCATATGTTTATGTAGAAGATAAAGGCATCTCGTAATAATCTATAAAATAGAAAAGTCATACTGGCAGTCACAGAAGCAGTCATTTTCATAGGTTACACCGTCTGTGCCACAAACTGGAGTGCTACCATACGGTCTACAAAACCTGTTACAGTCATTGTTAGACCTGTTACCACCGCCTCCTCCACCATTGTTGTTGTTGTTGTCACAATGTACTAAAATAAACCAAGAGTTAAAACGAGATATATACATTCCTTTCAACGCATGGTGTAATTTTTCATATGGAATTCAATGTCTCACAGAGAAGGAGAAAACAACATTTTTTTTTTCAATAGTTTTAAATTGTTCACATATCTAATTTTACATGATATTGCTGCTTTAAGACTATCATTTTTATTTCTTTTTCTTTTTCTTTCTGTTTTTGGAGAAAAGGATCAGTTTGTGTTTATTATGTATGTTATGTTTATCAATGTACATACTTAAAGTAGTGTCATTCTCTTTGATAATTGCACGTGTGTTTCATTATTCACCTATTACTTCAAATACGTCATTCTCCATATTGATTATACCACCAAGATGGGGAAGTTATATCTATCCTAATACCTTACATACGACATGTTTGCAGACTGTATATGACATAAGAATACGATCAATATTAATATGTATATGACAAAGTAAAATATGGGGAATAATTGTGACAATCTACTTTTTCCATGCATACTTAAATGTTAAACGTCTTTGTTGCATTTTAAAACTGTTTTTGGCAATGTTATTACAATTTTGTTTGAATGGGTAGTTTACAAAGCTATAGAAATTCAAATGTTAGAAAAATCATTTTTTTTTAATTCAAATATAAACTTCTATTCCTTACACCGAATTTTTGGATAAGACCTATTGTTTCTTATATGTGTCATTCTCCATGTCAGTTTCACCTTAATCACTTTTTTATCAAGAAGAAGTGAATACTGATATCATGTTCATATATAAGTTCTCAATAAAAACTCATCAGTAAATATTGTTTCACAAAATATTATATCGTTCTTTCATATAATAAGGGTCGGTATTTTAAGTAAAGTTCAAACTCGAATTATTATCGGTACAAATTCAACAAATGATATTTATGACAACCCATTAAGATACCTCAAAGGTGTATCCGACTCGTAGCATTTTACATATACAATGTATCCCCTTACAATCTATCTTAAATACAATTCATTCCAAGTCAAAAAGTCTTTGCTTTTTTAAATTGATCAAAGTGGAACAAAACTGTTTTATTGTTATGTTAATGTTTTTATAACGCATTGTACGAGTAAAATTCTTTACTTTATTTCTCTTTTGTAAGCAAATATGCGCGCCTCACTAGAGTATTTCTGCAAATGTGCGCAATAACCTTGAAAGTATATGATATGCATGTTTTTATCATAGACAAATTATAATTACACTATTTTGAAATATCAGTTGAAAATTATGATGACATCTAATTTTAACCTTTAAATATAATGAAATACAAATGGAACTGTGTATTTCATTCTCATAAATGTACAGAAATCTGTCTCTATATTGACAATTGATTAAAAATATCTTGAAAAGGGTGATCCCTCGGAAGTGATGAAAACAAAATTATATAAAACAGCAGACTCGATAATGTAAAAATGTGCAATATCTCTCATGGTCCCTAGCACCGGTTACAAAAAGACCTCCTAAATATAAGATACGCATAAAATAGTTCATATAAACAATATAATGTAATGATTATTTTTACAATTTTCAAGTACACCACTTTTTGTAAATGTTGTACTATACAGTTTGCCATATACAGAAATTCATACAACTATATACATGTAAAGTGGTGCATAGCAAAAAAAAAATTAACAATTTAGATTTAACAAGTTGTAAGTTGTTTATAGATATCTAGCATGCTAGTGCATAGTGGTTTCATTGTCTTTCTCTATAACCAAATATATAAATCGAGCGAATTTGTAGATAGGTTTTGTAGAAACTGTTAACATTGAAAAAGTAAAATTATGAAAAAAAATCGCCATTTACAAAAAACGGTGAACGTTTTGATTCGTAACTGCCTGTATTTAGGACAAACAAGTAAACATTGAAAAAAGATTTTTAAACATATTCGTATTACATTGAGTATGTAAACATTTAAATGTGCTCCAAATGAACTTCAAAATGACCTATCACAGTTGAAAATATGACTGCTGGTTTTGCATGTATACATTTCAGACACTTGACTATGTGATTTATTTGATTCTGCTTAAATAGATATTCTAATGTCTGAAGAATAACAATGATTAATGATTATAGACAGATACAGTAAAGTAAAAGTCCACAAAAAGAAACACATACCTGCCACAAAACACACAGCTAAGATTGCGAAAGCCTTCATTGTGAACGAATACGAATCTTTAATACTGCCTAACAGGAAAAGTCCGAAAATGCAGTAAAAGGTCCAAATGACTTCTGATGAAACCCCCAAATTGGATAAAGCTTATGTACCAGACAATTTCACGCATGATAGCAGTTATAGAATCAAAGTTATTTATATTTTTGCTAGACAATGAAACATTTAGATTTTTTACATAAATTTCATGGAGTAATTAGTTTATCTTTTCAAAAACAACAAATGCACGACAAGACGTCACACAGAGATGAACGTGTGACATTAATATCCACAGCGAGATTCAACATCAAAATAGAAGAAAAAAAAGTTGTATTTCAAGCATATGCGACAAATTTTCTGACAAGCTCCTTGAGTCTCATCCTGTCTGTGTATTTTTGTTTTGTTATTTCTATTCTTTATTGTTCTGTTTTCTTACACATCATATCATAGAAGTTCCGTCAGCAAAAGTTCATAAAAATAATATTCGAGAAAAGCATGAATAGGCGAACACTTGCAATACATGCACTTATTTCAGTAACCATGTGTATGCTGTCACATTTTTGACACTCCGGAAACGTTGAACAATTTCATTTGGTTGATCATTTTCTTTTTTTTTTTCCTGACTGATCTCAATAATTCTAAAGCAAAATATACAGGACGTCGGCCTCCTTTGATGTGACATACATGTACTATATTTAGACTAAAACAATACTTTTCTTGTCTTATCATATTGAATAATTTGGATAATTTTTAACTTAATACATTAAATACATAAGATAAGATTGTCACTATTTACAAAACAGACGACGTGAATAATAAAATCACAACAAATTGAAATAGAAAAAAGTATTGACATGTTTTCTGTCGCCATCATTAGAAATCTAGGTAAAGGTTACGTCTAGATCACTTAGTTAATAGAGGATAATGCAAGATCGAGAATATGTTTTATTCAGTGAACTCAATTTTATTTCATAGTTTCCTGCCTTGCTTGCAAGAGTGAAACTATATTAGCTAGTGCTTAAAGGTACAAGTGTTAAATAAAATAATTACTTATTCAATTTGTTTTAAATATTTACCATTATTACCTTGCATTTTTACTTCATGGACTTCGCCTTCGACGAAGATAGTTGGACTTCGCCCTTGACGAAATTTGAAGATATTTGGACTTCGCCTTCGACGAAATTTGAAGATATTTGGACTCCCGCCTTCGACGAAATTGGAAGATATTTGGACTTCGCCTTCGACGAAATTGGAAGATATTTGGACTTCGCCTTCGACGAAATTTGAAGATATTTGGACTCCCGCCTTCGACGAAATTGGAAGATATTTGGACTTCGCCTTCGACGAAATTTGAAGATATTTGGACTTCGCCTTCGACGAAATTTGAAGATATTTGGAATTCGCCTTCTGCGACATTTGAAGATATCTGCACTTAAGATTGGGTGTATCTATTTCGAACATGTGATTCTATTGATCAGCATTCAAATATGAAAAACAATGTCGATTTCACATATAATGTATAATACAAAATGTAAGAAATTGTTTAAAATTTAATAGAGCTAGATATGAGATTCATTGATTATGTACATATAAGTTTTATTTCCTGCTTAGATATCTGTACGGTGATTTACACAAGTATTGTCGACCATGACAAGTTGAATTAAATTAAACATTTTCAAATCATATCAAAACCATTATGTAAAACATATGATATTTATTACAGATAATCTTACAGTATCTATATTAAAGAAAAAGAACCATTGGAATATTTTTTAAAAAAGGGCAATGTGATTCCGTAATAAAATTGACTGTGTGACTGTGTTTGACAGAGACAATCCAGAAGCTATGCAGCGTGTTCACTGACTAGGTACACATTTATTGGACGAGACTTTGATAATCAAATTCCTGTACAATGCTGACTGACGCCATATACGTAAAATGACGGTTTTTTCGATTGGAATATATTTTTGAAAATTATTACAATTATAAAATTATGTTATTTCTACAGAGTAAGTTTGCCATATAAGTTTCCTTTAGATACTATATCACATATGAGCCATATGAGAATATCAAAAACAATGCAATCTGTCACAAACTCGTATTCGATTTTCCAATACTTTGAAAATTGGTATATTAAATTACATGGTCATGGTTGTGTCCTTATATCATATATAGAAAAATGTCCTCTTGTGTCAAATGTTTAAACCGGAAACATAAATTTCATGAGAAGGTTGCTACAATTTTTTATTTATGCTACATTTTATTAATTATGACAGTTTGGACAATGCAAGAGAAGAGAGTGATGTATTAGTATTATATGCTCATAATTTATTTTATTATGTGGCATTACATTGTTGCCTAACATTAACTGTACGTGTTAAGTACATGGCCACAACTTACTGAATTTCCACAAATATAAAGCCTACCGTTGTTTTGAATATCATAACACAAGAATGAAACATTACACTTTGAATGGTGCACTTGCACAAAGTTGTAAGAATTGCTTATTGTGTGTTTTTTGTTGCCATTGTTATACTTAGGTTTTGTTTTTCACAATTTTTGTAATGTTTAAACTATTTTCTATATAAATTAAAACTCTTTCAGTCCTTATTACATAGATTTCGAACATGTTCATTTTGATAAAAACACTACATATCTAATCATGTTTTGTAATAAAACGAATAAATATGTAAAAATAACTTTTGTAAAGGTTGCAAATGTTATGGGATGACATTTGATTACTCATTTATGCATAAAAAAGACTGTAATTGATTTATAAGATCGTTTTAACATTTAAAAATTCTAACATACGAATACATTAACCTTCACTCAAAACAACCGTCCACGCCCACTTGTACCGGCTTAAGCAGTAACATTTAAACATGAAAATTGTGAAATTTGGAATTTAGAAACATCCGTAGATGTATTCATACAGCGGCTATCATGAAACCTTCATTGTGACACTATCGTGCCATTCCATGAAAAGCGGCGTATGACCCCCAAGTAAAAGAAACCGTCAGCCCTAGACGAGAAATCAATGGGCGAAACTAAACGAAGTGGAATTTTGAAAGGGGATAAGATGTTATGAAGTCTGTCAAAAGACAGATTTAAAAAGCAGGCAACATATCCTAAGGTGATTACAGTAAACTTCATTTATAGCGAACACGGTTATAGCGAAATTCCGGTTATAGGGAACAATTTATTTTGGCCCGAATTTTGCCCTTCTTTATTTAATATAAAAATATACGGTTAAAGCGAACATGGTTATAAGAAATTATCGCTTATAAGGAACTCATTTCTTAGTCCCAATTTAGTTAAAAGTACAGAAAATTAGACTTTTATAACGAACTCCAAAATATTGGCTATCCATTATTAGATTCCGCATTTTCAACATTAGTTTTCATTGGCACGGATTAAAACTCGGCCGAATGTACCGTTTATTGTTGTATGTAATTCAAAACATCTATCAAAATGACTTTGTATAGTTTTCTATTTAGGATATTTTTAGCATAAGCTCTACTCACCAAGAAAAAACGGTTATTCCTTTTATTCTATAATATCTTTTCTTCATATAGTTTTGCTCGAGTAAAATAATTATAATAATTTATAATACGGTTTTCAACATAATCACGCATGCTTGCAAGCATGATCCATTGCAAACTGCAAAGTACGCTTTGATCTTTCATTAGTAAAAGTCAGCTTTAAAATATAATAGAAGATATTCAAAATAAAAGGAAGGAATAATCGAAAATCTTATTTATTCTCAATCATTGAAAGAAAACGAAAAGAGTTTAGAAACAAAATATTATATTTTATGAGAAATTGAGATGAAATAGCAAAGGATTTTCAAATTCCAAAAAGTACGCTCCCGGATATTGTGTCAAAGTCAGAAATAAATGACTAATTTTTCTTAATCAAATGCTCTTCAAAATGGCGGACGACGGTAAACAATCAGTTCGTTATATGTAAATCTGTTCGCTATAAAAACTCCTGATACAAGGAACTAATTCGTTATATGCTTACAAGGAACTCCGGATATAAGGAACAGATTTTGAATGTCCCGATGAGTTCGTTATAAGCGGAGTTTACTGTATACAGTAGTCAAATAGGGAGCATGCTAATAAATTATTTTACATCTTTTGTTTGACAATATCATTGTATAATGACACACCCTTTATATCTATTTTGAAGGTTTGATACCAGTATCAGTCTCAAGAGTGTCGCATATGATGTGTAAAGATGGTTTATGATACATGGAAATACATAAATAGTCGTAATTACAAACCCCGTAGTGTTCGTATATGTAATAATTAATTGTATGCTATACGAGAAATGTTCGAATGAATGCGTCCACGCGCAAAAACTTATTATTGATATTTTAAATGATTTTTCTTCGTCGTCCCCTCGAAGTATTCATTTCAACAAGATCTACTTTAAATCTTCTGATCCATTCCCTGGCTAGCATTTTCATAGTTTTTCCGGGCGTTTTAGAGCATACCGGTATATTGGATTGCGATTTATTCATTATTATTTGTGGATGTATCTGTAGACAACCAAAGCAAAGTAATTTTTATGATATTTAAGAAAATAATTGTTCATTCAGTTCTTGTTTTAATAAAAAATGTATACTTCTAGGAGATGTTAACACAAATGTTTTAGACGGTTCTAAGTGTTTTTCTTTTACTTAAATCCGCGGTATGTTTTGAGCAAATCATCAGGAATTTTACAAGAAAAGTAATGCCTCATAATCTATTGACTTGACATCGGTTTCAGATAAAGGAAAAATATCACAAAGTGGAGTTCGTCATATTGGTATCAGTGATCATTCACTCATATACATGTATTGTACCAGAAGAACCCTTAAAATGTGATAAAGGGAACTATCTAACATTCATTGGTCACTGTGCTTTAATGTGATATTGTATAATATGCAAGGACTAGTTTCAAATCGGTATTTTTGCTCCTGTAAAAGAGGCAATCAGAGAACTATCACATTAAAGCACTGGGAGTGAATGATCACTGATACCAATATGAGGAACTCCACTTTATGACTTTATGATATTTTTCCTTTATCTGAAACCGAAGTCAAGTCAATAGATGATGAGGCATTACTTTTCTTGTAAAATTCCTT